TAATGACTGAGAAACTGTGATGTATCCGTTCTTAACATAAGTGAGAAGTCTCCAAAATTGCCATTTTTAACATAAATAGCATGCCTCAGACAGGATCCAGCAATACAATTCGAGCCCCTCAAAGTTGACAGTAGCTGAAAATTTAGTTTATATTTTCTAAAATCTCATCTCCCTCAGCTGTATGTATCCAAAGACACCGGAGTTCTTTCCATGACATATATAAGTACCGGAGGAGAAAATGCATAGGAAGTCAAGCAGGTGTTGAGTTTTATTTAGACCTACCTGGGCCAATGGCAATAGCAGGCTGGAATCTGGAGAAAATTCTTGCCTCCCTGGGCATGCAGTTAAGATAGGCAAGTGTTACCTGCAAGTCAGAGCAGTCACCCTGTGGACCACACTAGGGCAAAAACAGCATGGCGAAGATCTGAGCTCCAGCTAAGGATGCCTTCAGCTACTTCCTAGGCAGAGCCGTTCCTGGGAATGCTGGATCTGGATGGCTCCAGCAGGACCCACTGCTCCCTTCCTTCTGGCTTCACACAGGTAGGTCCAACGGATGTGTGTGTGTGTGTGTGTGTGTGTGTGTGCCCCTCTCTCTCTCTCTCTCTCCATCCCTCAGTCAGTCTCAAACTGCCTGATAAGTTCATTTTCTGGATTCAGTGGCCTACTGCTACAAATGGTCATCATTGGAGCCACCCTAATATCCACTCTCAACAGATCACTCTAATTTTGAATTTCCCTAACTCTGAATCTCAGGGAGAAAATAAAAATACAGGTGGTCAATTGTAGCGGTGTTTACTAACTGTGCATTCTCCCACACTGTAGGAGAATCGTACAAGCCTGCCCCCTAACCCCCAGAATCACCTTGTGATTTGCGTTAGCCACTTCCGTGTAGTAGAACTTGAAAGGTGAAGCATGTGTCAGTTCTGAGCAAACACCCTAAAAGCCAGAGGGAAGTTTACTGATCCTTTTTCCCTCTGCTGTGAGAACCAAGCACTACTTCTTACACACACTGCTCTGTAAGTCCAGGTCCCAGAATAAGGACTTTGCAACAAAACCACACCCAGCTCAAGACGAATATGTTACATGAATGAGGGATAAACCTCTATTTATTGTTCTTGAAATGTTGTGACTATTAAAGTAGCCAAACCTTAGAGATTCTGATAGACAAAATGACTACCCAGGGGTCAGAGTTGTGGCACAGTGGATTAAGTTGCTAGCTACAATGCCAGTGTCCCAATTGCATGCCAGTTCCAAACCTGGCTGTTCCACATCCAATCCAGTTCCCCACTAATGCATCTGGGAAGGCAACAGAAGATGGTCCAAGTCTTTGGGTTCTTGTCACGCATTTGGGAGACCCAGATGAAGCTCCTATTTGGCCTGGCCCAGCTCCAAGTGTCACAGCCATTTCAGGAATGAAACAACGGATGGAAGACCACACTGTTTCTCTCTAGATATAGATATATACGTTTTTAAGACAGTTACTTCTCTTTGGAAGGCAGTTACAGAGAGAAAGGAGAGAGACACAAAAAGAGATCTTCCATCTGGTGATTTGCTCCCCAAATGGCTGTAACAACCAAAGCTAAGACAGTCCAAAGCTGGGAGCTCAAAGCTTCCTCGAGGGCTCCCATATGAGTGCAAGGACCCAAGGACCTTAGCCCTCCTTTGCTGCCTTCCCAGGTCATGAGCAGGGAGCTGGATCAGAAGTGGAGCAGTTGGGATTCGAACCAATGCCCGTATAGGATGCCAATGCCACAGGCAGAGGCCCAGCGTGCTATGGCACAACACCAGAGTCAACAAATAAGGTTTTTTCTTAAAAAAAAGATAGGGCTGAGATAGATTATCTTCCTTCCAGAACCTCCTAAGATCTCTTGTGTGAACCAGGCCTCCTTCTGCCAAGGGGCTTTTCATCCCTGCAGTGGCTTCTCCAAGAAGTCAGATCACCTGGGACTTCCCCAGGTCCTGTGTCTGTCTTACATCTCCTTCATGATTGAGGGAGTCCTAACATCTGCCTGGCAGTGCCCTTGTAACTCAGCCTCTGCTGGAACTGACCGGCAGCTCCTGCTGCTAAAGAAGGGAAACTCAGGGATCCCAGAGGGCACAGCCACCGCGTACATTAGCCCCTCTGTAGCCAGTGCCTGGTGGCAACGGTGGCTGCTGCTGTCAGAAGAGAGCGGGAGAGAATTGTTGCATCATCTGCAAAGGTAGAAAGCTTTGCGATGGTGTAGTGGTTAAGGTCCTCACCTTGAACACCCGAGATCCCACATGGCTGCTGGTTCTAATCCCAGCAGCCCCGCTTCCCATCCAGCTTCCTGCCTGTGGCCTGGGAAAGCAGTTGAGGACAGCCCAAAACCCTGGGACCCTGCACCTGCATGGGAGATCTGCAAGAAGTTCCTGGCTCCTAGCTTTGGATTGGCTCAGCTCTGGCTGTTGCGCTCACTTGGGGAGTGAATCATCGGACGGAAGATCTTCCTCTCTGTCTCTCCTCTCTGTATATCTGCCTTTCCAATAAAAATAAAATAAATCTTTCAAAAAAAATTAATTGCACCCATTTCTTTTTAGTTCAACATCCTACTAGTAAAACATAATTTTACATGTGTGATTCACATTGCTTTAGTGAAAAAATGCTGTCCTGTGTCAATCTGCTGGCTCGGAGTGAGAGAACCCTGACTCAGCCAGTGTGAAGAGGATACTAATCCAGCACACGATGATGCTGATGACTAAGACGATGAAGACCAGTGGTTTCTTTTCCTTCATAGTTTTTTATTTTTATTGGAAAGTCAGATTTACAGAGAGAAGGAGAGACAAAGAGAAAGACTTTCCATTCACTGGTTCACACCCCAAGTGCCACAAGGGCCAGAGTTGAGCTAATCCGAAGCCAAGAACTTCCAAGTGTCTCATGCAGGTGCAAAGTCCCAAGGCTTCGGGCTGTTCCTCACTACTTTTCCAGTCCACAAACAGGAAGCAGGATTGGAAGTGGAGCATCTGGTACAAGAGCCAACACCCATATGGAGATGCAAGGCGAGGACTTTAGCCATGAGACTACCAGGCCAAGTCCAATCAATCAATTTAAGAAGTTTTGAGAAGGTGAACTAGTTTTGGGCCTGTTGCAGTAGCCTAGTGGCTTAAGTCCTCACCTTGCACGCACCAGGATCCCATATGGGTATCAGTTTGTGTCCCAGAGGCCCCACTTCCCATCCAGCTCCCTGCTTATGGTGTAAGAAAGCAGTAAAGGATGACTCAAAGCCTTGGGACCCTGCTCCAATATGGGAGACCCAGAAGAAGCTCTTAGCTTCTGGCTTCAGATCAGCTCAGTTCTGACCATTGCAGCCATTTGGGAAGAGGTGGAACTTAATGCGAAGTCCATCGGCCATTGAGGCATTTAGATCAGCAGTCAAGATGCTCCTGCCCACAGGAAGAACATAAAATCCCAGCTCTGGCTCCCAGCCCAGCTTCCTGCAAACCCCATCATGTAGCAGTGACCGCCACAATGGCACACATGGAACACCTGCTTTGCATTCCTAGCTCCGGGTTTCAGACTCAGCATGGCCCCTGCCCCTGCAGGCTTTGGGAGGGTAAGCTAACCGATGGATGGGAGTTTTGCATCCTTCTTTGTCTCTCTGTTGCCCAAATCAATAATAAAAAGAGGGAATTAGTATAGTTCTCACGAAGCCATAATGAGTTGGTACGAGAGTGCATTGTTATAAAAAGAATCAACTTGATCTTGAATCCTCTGGCTTCTTTACTCACTAGGAGGTCTTTTCTGCACAGGCTCCTGTCATTGTGACACTGTTACATGTGAGATCCGATCAGATGTCAATGCCATGCCTTGGGTCCCCCAGAACTGTCAGATCAATCAACTTCTTTTTTCCAAAAAAAAAAAATAAGTTTTATTTTTATTGGAAAGGCAGGTTTATAGAACGAGGGAGAGACAGAAAGAGAAGGTCTTCCACCTGCTGGTTCACTCCTCAAATGGCCACAATGTCCAGAGCTGAGCTGATCTGAAGCCAGGAGTCAGGAGCCTTTTCTGAGTCTCCCATACGGGTTCACAGTCCCAAGGCTTTGGGCCATCCTCCACTGCTCTCCCAGGCTGTAAGCAGTGAGTTAGATTGGAAGTGGAGCAGCTGGGACATGAACCGGTGCTCATATGGGATGCCAGCACTTGCATGGGAGGATTAGCCAATTAAGCCATCATGCCATCCCAACCTCTTTCCTTTATAGCTAGTATGACTTTGAGTATCTTGTTACAGTGATAATATGTGTGGGAAGTCCTCCTGGGGCCCTGAAATTCTTGCCCACATATGTCCATATGTAAACCTGTATATCTCTCCACTTCTGCTCCCTTACAACCACCAGCAACCCCTCTCCCTCTGTCAGATCCAGGAAAAGACTCAGCACCAAGACACGTAGGTCTAGCTGCAGAGAAGGGCAACAACATCATGCAGCCCAGGCATGACAATGACCGTGCTGTCCTAAAGGCAACTCTGGGCTCCAGCAGCCCCGGTGTCTGCCAGGCAGCCTCCCAGCCCTTCCTCCAGCCGGCCCTGGCTCTGGGGCAGTGTGTGTGGACGAGGAGAGCAGCCAACTCCTCGCCGGACTCTCTAACAAGTTCCACGGCTCTGTTTGTTAAAGCAAAATTCCAGTGGGCGCATCCAACACATGGAAGTCAAGACCAGAAATTATATTTATCCACCCTACTGCCAAGCAGATCACATGCCCCATGAGTCACTCCAGATGTGCTCAAAAACAGAGTCTCTGTGTGGAAACCCGGTCCCCCAATCCCAGAGAGAGTGGGATGAAGAGAGGTGCCTGCTCCCGTCCCAGCCAGGAGACAGCCAGGAGACAGCCGTCTGCCTCCGCCCTCCTGAGGCCAGGAAAGGGGATTTCTGCCCCTTCTGAAAGGGAAGAGTGTGAAGAACACAGGGAGCAACAGCACGAGCCCACCTGTGGCCACTGGGGTCCCACTGGATAGAAAGCCCACTCCTCACCTGTTCGCAGACGGAATGTGCTGGAAGACATTGCTGCTTCTGCTGTTGTATTACAACGCACAGGCTACCGTGTCCCACAGGTGGAACAGGGGTGAGTGGCTTTTTATTTGATTGGTTTGATGCTCTCTGTTCTTACTTTAAGCCAATTGGGGATTTGGAGGGGAGCGGGAGGGCGGGGGAAGGAAGGCAACCAGAAGTCCCACACCCTCCTATTATCTCTGCCCATTGCTTTATGCTTCTCAGTTTCCTAGAGGAAGGTGGTAAGAAAAACCACACTGAGAAAAAATATCAAAGCCGCAACTTTGGGACTGCAGTGGCTGTAGAGGGTCTCTCTTCCTGGAGTGCCAGAGAGCTCTCACCACTGGCACACACAATGTGGCCAGGCTCCCTCCAGGTCCCCCCTGTGGTTGCTGCAGCTGAGGGAGACTGTCTGGAGAGCAGGTGCTAAGACAAGGCAATGTGGCTGGTAAGGACAGCAAATCTTTAGCATCGGTTTTGTGGGGGTTCCACCAGCTCCTCAGCCATCCATCATGAAAAGGAGGCTTTCATGCAAAGGCTTGTTTCATTGTCAACTTCCTCTCCATGAGGAGGGACCCCTCAGACCTGGGATGATATCATTCCTTTACACTGGCTGTGCTTGGCAGACACTGGCAGCACCCCAATTCAATGAGAGCTTACCACTCCTGGAAATGCGGGTCCCAACGTGCTGTCCGCTCTTCGCCAGTCTAAACAGAGGTCTTTCTGCCACCTAAAGTCAGCTGAGCTCACTCGCCCAGAGAGCTGGAAGGCAGCTGGGGCTCCTTCGGGTCAGGCTAGCAGGTGCTTCTGGAGCTCTTGCAGGCACCAAAGCATGGGACATCCCTGCTGCTCCCAGACAGTGTCAGGGAAGAAGCAGAGCAGCGAGGAGATGGCTCTGGAACAAAGAACAGGGGTGCCAGGGGTGCAAAGCCACTGTGCTGATGGCGGTTTGGGGAGCCTCACAGGGATGTTAGGGGTTTGCCCAACCTCTGAACTGAACTGTAAAATGACTGTTGTCCAGAGACAAATAATGTAGTCTTTCCCCTTTATTTTCCATAATAACACTGCACACACACACACCTGCTCTTGAGATATAAGCAATTGGGAAGTACAGGACAAAAAGATCTCAACGCTAGGCCCTACTGCTTGGTACCCTGTCATGTTTATCAATCTTGCCTGTTGAAAGGGTGTAAAAAACACCCATTCTTCCTAATGGCCAGGACGTTAGAAAAATGGAAAGTGTTATCTGATTGCTGCCCTACGATAAACTCAAGATGAAAGTTCTGCCAGCCTCTGGGCTATGATCTCTCCCGAGACTCTAAACTTCTCCGAGCTTTGGTTCACCAACGAGCATCTGTGTGCTGTGCTCACTTCGGCAGCACATATACTGAACATTGGAACAGGCGTGTGTGCTGCTAGTGTAAAGGCCATCATTTTAAAAATGTGGGTGAAAATTCTTTATAAATGATGAAGCATTCTACACATGCCACCTTAAACATGCAAAAAGTTTTCATGAAAGAAAACTTGGGGCTCTCAACTGACAGTCCAAAGGCAACATCCTGGGAGCAACTCCTCGCCCAGAAAGGTCTGTCTCTAGTAGGATCACGTTGATACAGACACTGAGCCAGCAGGACCAGCACAGAGGCTGCTGGAGACACCAGTCAGCACTGGCCGAGTGGCCCAACCCAGCGTTCAGAGTCAGCAAATGATATGGAATCCTTCCAACCCACTTCAAAATCCGGCCACGTAGTTGATTTTTTCATTTTTAACATTTTTTTCTAATTACCAAAAGGAATTCGCAATTTTTTCTTTTTTTTTTTTTTTTTTTTTTTTTTTTTACAGATGAACTGGGAGTCACACCCAAGAACAGTTTGGGATTTTTTTTGTTTTTTTTTTGTTTTTTTCAAATACACCATTCCTTTCACCTTCACTCTGGCTCCTACCTAACTGCAGCTCTAATTTAGAAGAATTTCCTTTGGAAACAGCGTGAAAATGGCCTCTCGCTAGGCAAGTCTTCTGGTCTGCCACCCCCTGGCCCTTCATTCACTCCCACCTGTTCCCAACCCCCAGATCCCTGCTCCCACTTGCAGAAATGAAGGAAAACTAAAAACGTCCACCCGCTGTTCAGGGCACCCCCTTTCCTTCTGCTCCCTCAGCCTTCTCTCTAGGATCCTCCCTGGGAGGTGGCTGCCCACACCAGGACACAGGATTGCCCAATTTCCACCCCACCAGCTTGATTAAGACCCAAATGACTCACCTGTGGTTACTGCAGCTGACCCCGGGGCACCCGATCTGCACACACACAAATGCACCCCCGGCAGGTGACCTGGGGCCCAACACAGCCCAGATCCTCCTGGAATACTGCTTGGGAAGGGAGGACTAGCCAGACTTCAAAAAAAAATTAAAATGTGTGTGTATGTAAATAGAAAGATTTATTTGGCAATCAGAGATACAGAGATAAAGGAGGGGAAGGGAAAAGGTCTCCCATCCGCTGATTTAGTCCCCAAATGGACCCAGTGGCCAGGGCTGAGCCAAGCCAAACCCAGGAGCCAGGCCTTCCTCCAAGATCTCCCACGTGGGTGGCAGGGACCCAAATACTTGGGCCCTGCTGCTTTTCCCAGGGTTTTATCAGTGAGCTGGAGTGGAAGCAGAGCAGCCAAAACATGAACCAGCACCCATTTGGGGTGCTGCCAGCTCAGCGGCAGCCTTACCAGCTGCCCACCTCTAAAGTACACTTTTATTCATCAGTACAAATATTTATGTTTGTTAAATCGTTTCTCTTAAAAGTCATTGGATAAAGAAGGACGGCCCTTCTGTTGGGTGCAATTTATATCGTTTTCAGATGTGCATGTGCGCGTGTGTGTGCATAGGGCCTGTGGCCAGTGCTCAGTAAGGGAGATTTCATAAAGCACTGACAAGCTCCATGCAGAGCCACGGCCTTGGCCCTGAAGAGGCAGGAGTTGCCATCATTACCACTGCAAAGGACACCCGAGGGCGGGACTCGTGTTGCTGGACGGTCAGAACTTAGACGCAGCCAGACCCAGGTCTGCTGATGTCAGAGTCACACCCTCCACATCCATCATCTCTCCACTCGGCCTGGGCCACCCTCCTACCTCCTGCATCTTTCCAGCCAACAGCAGCTCCCCCACAGAAGCACTCCAGGGAAGCCCAGCACTCAGGGCCAAGACCCTGGCTTGCTTAAAACTGTACTGGAGTCTCAAAGGGCTGGCCTGACAGCCAAAAAGGAAGCACCGTCAGGAGGACCTGGTGAAAGGTCTTGTATGAATGAGAGCTTTTCCCTCCACATTCGCTGTCATTTCTGATTCATTCAGAATCCAGTTGTGTTTTTGGCTTGAGATGGTCTGCAATTTGAATCCTTTCCAGGACGAATGTTAGGCAACAGTTAAGTGGAAACAGGGATGAGCCTTAACTGTTCTCATGAACATATTTGGAAATGGGAGGAAAGAAAAAGAAAGTAATGTTTAACTCAGGTTACCAAGAATCAAAGAGAAGGGCAGGCCACCACACAGGGCAGGCCACTCTGTTAGGAGCACCTCTGGCTGTATGGCAAGGCAAGAAATCCTGGAAGAGATGCAGTGTGAGGCAATAGCAGCAGCCTTCCCTGGGAGAAGTTGCAAGTTGCTTCTCGCCAGCCAGAACAGGCACTGCTCCGAGATAAGGGGAGGATGTGGCTGGAGGCAGATGTCAACATCTCATTTCTGATCATTAGCCAGAACCCGGAACTGCAAATAAACTCACAAATCACCCTGGTAGAAAAAGAATCGTGGGTAAAGCACGCTGATGGAAAACAATGGAGTTTAGTGACACAGGTAGATAATGTGTTTCTAAAGAATCATTTATTCATTCAGCAAGCGGTAGTGAACAAAATGCTTGGCGTTGGGAATACCACAGTGAACAAAACAAAAGTCCCATGCCTCCGTGGAGACAGATGGTAAATCCATAGGTTGGTAAATGGCAGATGTACGAGTACGTATAAATTAGATATAATGCTTGTAGGATGATAATGAAATAGGCATAGAAGTTAAAGGATGCTGCGATCACAGGCAGTCACTTAACTCACAGCAGCACAGCACTGGCCCCAAGCGGAACACTTCCACGATGGCAAATGAGTTCACTCTTTCATAATTGACTAGAGTTCACCTTTCTGTGATTATTTAGAACTGCAGATTGACCCAGTCTGGGCAGATGCACCTGCAATAAAGACAGCATTGGTCATCCTCTGGGCGAGACTGGGTTTTGGAGTCTAAGAGATCTGGATTTTAATCCTAGTCCTTCCTCAAACAAATTGATGGCCTAGGGAAACTTCCTTAGCCTGCTGGAAAGGCACAAGATGCACTGACTGGCATATGGGTACTCCAAAGCGTCACCCAACAACAATAATTTGAGGTTCAAAGTCGTCTCTCACCAGAAGACGCAGACAGAACGTGCTGTTATTATCCATTAATCACAAATCACAAATCCCTGAATCCTGCTCCTGGATTAACCTGGTCCAGGGGGTATGACCTTCAGCAAGTGAATCCCTTGTTGTATACTGATGGGTGCCATGTTTCCGACTGCATGAGAGTGAGCAGCTCTCAGCTTCCCTGCTCCACAGTTGGCCTGTGCTGCAGGCTCTCATAAAAACCAATGGCCTTCACTTCAAGTATCCCCCAGAACGGCCACTCTGAGGGGCACTCATGGACACAGTCACATCCCGGAGAGGGAGCTGGGGTGGGGTATCTCCTGAGAAAGGCCAAGTTTGACACCAAGTGACAGGCACACCAAGTCTGTGGTTCTGATGACAACGCTCTGGCAGCCTGAGGCTCTGTGCTCCGGTGGCCTGTGGTGAGCAGGAGCTTAAGACAGTCTGCATCAGTGTGGGAAACAGAAGGACCAAGAGGAAAGCCCAGAAAAGCTCATGATTGCCAGGGTCATGATTTTACTTTGTAATGTCTAACTCATGGCTTAAAGGTCATTTCCAACATCTGCGTTGAGGCTGCACTCAGAGCTCTGCAACACCTGGACGCCAAGGTCGCACAGGAGAAGCCCAGGCCCCTCCTCCCCACCCACCCCATCCTCCCTAGGCTGGCTGACCCAGGGAAACTGCTCAGGTTGATACAGGGGTGGGGTGAAAAGCAGGTGGAATGGATGCTGGAAGCACATGGAGATAGGAAACAACTATACATGGTGCTGCCCGGGTAGCACCTTGGGAAGCTGGGCTGGTTTTCTAATGCTTCCAGCTTCGCCCCTGTGTGGACAGCTCAGAGCTGGCCAGCCCTTTTCTCCCCGTGGGCATGTCTGGCTGTGTTAAAACTTCCTTGTTATTAACAAGAACGTCTCAGGGTGCCCGGACATTTACTTTTTCATCCCTGTAGATTAAAACAAACAAAAAATCGCTAATTTATTTGAAAAGCAAAGTGACAGAGATAATGTGAGAATCTGAGAGAGGTTTTCTGTCTGTTGGTTCACTCCCCAAATGGTCAGAACAGCCAGAGCTGAGCCACACTGAAGCCAGGCACCAGGAACTCCATCTGGGTCTTGCACTGGGGAGGTAGGAGCCAACTTAGGCTGCTTTCCCAGGCAGCAAACTGAAACAGAAGTAGAGTCGTCAGGACTCACATTTGCACTCTGATACAGGATGCCAGCATCACAGGCGGCAGTTTAACCTGCATCACAACACCAAGCTCCCCCTGTGTCCTGATGTTACCCTCCATTGAGCGCTTTCTCACCCACCACCTCCAACATCTGCAGGGCAGAAGGATCTGTCCTCTGCAGGTCTCATCTCACTCAAGGAGTCAGACATTGGCAGCTGCCTGTCGGGGCAAAAACACCCCCACCTCTGCCAATGCCCACAGTCAAAGCAGCTTTAGAAATGTGTAAGAGCAGTTACTGCTGGGACAGTGGACCAATGCAGGGGAGGCAGGGCACAGGGAAGGAAGGAATCATCTTTAGGATTCCTGCACTCCTCACACATGCCTTCTAAAGCATCCACACTGGATGCTGGAGCCCCTTCCAAGGATCTCCCCCAGAGGACGGCGTTACCAGGTAGGGGAACAATGGTGTTACCAGACCCAGCATGGATCTGGCAGCATTTGCTTCTTGACCCTTTGAGAACTGGGGATTCATCTGAAGCAAGAACGCTACAGCAGCGTTGCTGTATGCAGGCAAGAAATGGAGTAAAGAAGACACAGGGCTAGGGCGGAGAGTGGCTTCCTGGGAAGTGGCTGCTGTGTGATCCCAGCAGAGTAACGCACATCCATGGCACTGCCGCCCTCCCTGCCCTCTCCATCTGCTAGGGGAGTGAATGCTTAAAAACTGAGCAACACTTCTAACTTTGCAATCATGGAAGAATTCTGTGGGTAGGTTAAAGAAGTAAAATGGCTCCCAGCTCCTGCCCTGAGAAGGGGTTTTACCCACGTTTCCTGGATGGGAAGGAGAGTTGGTCACACAGCAGGAATGCGCCAGGCCTCTGGTTTCATGCTATACTAAGCAGAAAGCAGAGGTCAAGTCCTCAGCCTCCTTGTGCCTCCAGTTCCTGTCTCCAAGACATGATGCCCTTGGCCTCTTCAGTGACCCTGCTAGGCCACAGTGGAGTGCACTTCGAACTGTTTTATGGTAGAAAGACATCACTTGCTTATCTGAAATCTGGACAACTCGGTGGTCACAAATTCTGGCGTGCTGGCTGCTATAATTACCTGAGAGATATCAAAGTTCTCATACCACCCCCACTCACACACACAGAGAACCCCATAAATTGGCCTGGCATGTGGTCTCAGACATTTGGGGCTGTAAAAGTTCCCAAGTGGTTCCACAGCAAAGCCAATGTGGACAAGCCCTGGGCTAGGCTGAGATCAAACATCTAGCAGGGACAGCGGCTTCTATACCACTTCACCACCACAAATCAGTTCCTTCTAATGAGGACAGCAGTTCTCCCACCTTGGCTGACACCAGAAGCACCCGGGAAGATGGAAAACACCACAGTGACCCCACTGCACCCTAGTTCTCTGCAATCGGGGTTCCAGAACGGGGACTCACGGAGCAGTATTGTTTTGTTTCTGCTTTTATTTTTGCGTGGTTTTTTTTTTTCTGATGATGATGTTTACATATCAGGGGGGAAGGGTCGAGGATCAGGGGATAGTAGGTGAGACCATTGTTGACACATTTTATTTTTCTTCTTCCCGCATACGGGGGAGAGGAGGATGCAAGAGAAAAAACCACGCCCAGCCTCCCAACTGCTGCATTACCTGGGGGATGGGGAAATACCACCCAATGTCATCCAGAGCAGCATTTTTCAAAGATATTCTATGGGTATCAATCAGTGGAATAAGAGACACCTGCGTGCACACACACCCAGCTCCTTCTAAAACCACCGAGGCAATGGGTGAACAGAGGCAGAAGCTTCCATGAGCCCTAGAGTTGAGATTCTACGGGAAGTTGCTTCCCTTTCCGGCAAAGAAAGCAAACTCAGCTAAGACTGTGGACAAGGAAATACTGCTCTGGGGTTCTTGGGCTCCTTCCCATGCTGGTCACACTGCTGGCCAAGGCATCTTTTGGAGCAAAGATTCCACCAGCCAACTGCTAAGCCCAGTGCATGCTGTGGAAGCCTGCCACGCTCTGCCGGGACAAGCAGGAAAAACAATAAAGCATATGGATCTCAGCCCCTAGGGAACTTGTGGCATGGATTGTAAAAAGCTACCTCTAACTAGCACTTTCGGAAAAAGTGGGAGATTCCTACCAGGGGGCTTTTCAGGAAAGTTCTTATAAAGTTGAAGCTATTTAGTCTTGCACCCCTTCTGATGGAAATCCTTCTGAAAGGCCTGCCAAGGTCCTTGTCTCCTGTCGCAAAGCCCACTGAAGCTTTTCTTTGTAACTCAAAGCACTGTCACTCAGCAGTGGAGCTGCCATTGGCTGGGTACTACAAACTGTGCTTAGCACTGCTTCGGGGCTGTCACTCTACAGGCTCAGATTCTTGGTTATTTCCTCAATTTTCTAGAAGATCACAATCAAGTCTCTTGAAGAAATTGCACCTGTTAGGCCCTAAAACCTCACGTTGCATCCGCCAGGATCCAATATGGGTGTTGGTTCATGTCCCAGCTGCTCCACTTTCCTTCCAGCTCCCTGCCTATGGCCTGGGAAAGCAGTTGAACAATGCTTTGAGATCCTGCACCTGCATGGGAAACCCAGAAGAAGCTCCTGGCTTTGGATCAGTTCAGCTCCAGCCATTTCGGCCACTTGGGGAGTGAACAAGTGGATGGAATATCTTTCTCTGTCTCTCCTCTCTGTAGATCTGCCTTCCCAATATAAATGAATGAATGAATGAATGAATGAATGAATGCATCTTTTTTTAAAAGAACAAGAAAGAAAGAAATTGCACCTGTTGTTCCCAGCTGACAGCACTTAGCAGTCACTGCTGTCCATCAGGGCTGTTTGCTGCCAGCCTGACACATCTTAGAGAATTTCAGTTTCTGAACATCATTCCAATGCACTAAAATACCCTATCTCCCCACTGGCCGGTCCTCCATCAGTTCCTCACCCTTCTCTTTCTGCAACGCGTGAGATGCAAGATGGACAGATCACTGAGTGCAGGCTGAATGCATTCCTTAAGCAGGGCTCCCTGGGGGAAACTCTGAGCTGGGCCTCACCATTCCCTGAAGCCAAGATTTGGGGTCTGGTGACCGCTCCCCCCTTTTATTTTGTTATCTGTGTTTAGATTCTCATCAGTTGCATTTTGGAGGCCAGGGTAGCCCTGATCCTTGATGAAAAAGCATTGAGAATAAATATAAGCCAGTGCTGTATCTGATAATAATAATAATAATAATAATAATAATAATAAAGCAATAAAGTGTGTTGTGCTATTAGGGAACAGCATAAAGATATTTCAAAAAGCTTGTGGAAAACTGTATTAATGGATAAGCTGATTTTAGTGCCAAAAAGTTTTGAACTCCAATGCACCGATTTTTTTCCCCACACACATTTTCCATGAGCTTCTTGAAGCCTCACATACACATGGATTTTTACAAGGGTTTGCCCTGAAATAGACTTAATTCCATTTTCCATGAACTCTGAGGAACCCTTCTATTTCTAGGGACTCATCTCTGAATTTGGCACTTTTCGTGGGCTTCTCTCTGCTTTCTCTGTTTTAGTATAGATTCCTCAATGTACACATACTCCCAGGCACATGCCTGTTTCAAAACTTTTTCAAGTGGGTCTGATGGGTAGCGGGTCTGAAGCCACTGCCGTGTCTGACACAACTGGGAGCTTGGCCGGACAAGCCAAGGGACTCCATGCCCACACAGTATTCTGTGTCGTGGCTGTCAAGACTCACTGGCCACCTTCAAGGCTAAGCAGGCGGAAGGGCAGTGTGGATTCAGCCTCCTAAGAACTCACATTTTGTCTCTTCCAGCCCTGCTCTTCCCTGCTGCCCATCGGCCGAAGCGGTCCTCATCCTTGCCCTTGAACCCAGTCCTGCAGACCTCCCTGGAGGAGGTGGAACTGCTCTATGAGGTAGGCGGAAGGAGAGTGATCAACCTGGGTCACCCCAAGGCACTTGTGTCCACGTGATCCTGTTCAGAGAAGCAGTGATCTTCCAGGGACCCCGAATATGAGTGGCTCCCGCTGCTATGGGGACTGGCCTATGCTCACCTGTGGAGGTCACCCAACCCTGTCTATCCCACAGTATTTCTAGAGCCTTCCCTCCATCCCCACCATTGCCGGGTATAAAGGCATTAAGACTTCAGTCAGGGCAAATCAGACTTCAGACGTGGCCCAGGGACACCACTGCCAGCTGCAATGCACCAGAGGATGGCAAATTTCCAAGCAAAGACTTTGAGGCAGGACCCATTGGTAGTGTCCAGGAATTGTCAAGGCAGGGTCTAGGTACAGATTGTCTGTGAGATGCCACCTTCTGAGGCAGCAATGTTGCCAGGCTTCTGTGCTTGAAGAGATAGGCTTCTGGAAGCCCAGGACACCCTGCTCTCTTTGGCTCTCACTACTCCATCCCTTGAAACTACAGGGCACTCTGCTGTTCTTCCATCCAGCCGGCTCTGGCCCAAGATGTGGGCCTCCCTGGTGACTGTCACTTCTGCAGCATATGCTCTTGCATACAGCCACCATCCTTCTCTGGGCCTGGATCTCCCAACTATTAACGAAGGTGTTTCACTGTGAACCCCTGCATTTCTCCTCTGGCTTTCACATCCTCTGTACCCTACTTAAGCAATGGGGCCATCACCTGCTGCTTCCCAGGCACACCAGCAGGAAGCCGGATTAGAAGCATAGTAGCCAGAGCTTCAAGTTTCCAAGTGGTGGCTTATCTCAATGTGCCATAGTGTCAGCTCCCCCAGACTTATGTTTTAAGATTTATTTATTTTTATTGGGAAGGCAGACATACAGAGAGGAAAATCTTCTGCCCATTGATTAATTCCCCTAGTGACCACAACAACAAGAGCTGAGCCAATCTGAACAGCCAGGAGCCAGGAGTTGCTTCTAGGTCTCCCACATGGGTGCAGGATCCCAAGATATTAGGCCATCTTCAACTGTTTTCCCAGGCCACAAGCAGGGAGCTGAATGGGATGCATGGCTGCCAGGATTAGAACTGGTGCCCATATCGGATCCGGCATGTTCAAGGCGAGAACTTTAGCCACTAGGCTACCACACTGGGCCCCAGACTCATGTTTTAAAAAGAGAAAAAAAGATATCATGGAGGAAGGAACAGAGCAGCAGGAAGATGGGGACAGAAGGAAAGGTAGGATTTAGAATATCCTGGAGCATGTGGGAGGCTCCTGCTGTGAGCATGGTCCTGCACAGGGAAGCCGAGCAGGGGCCCAGCTTCTCCCTTTGGCAGGCACAGAGAGAGGAGACCGGACCCTGTAGCCCACCCAGGTCCTCATACAGTTCTCTTCACCCTTCAGATTCTCAGACTGTACTTTTGGAAAGTACCCGAAGTAGTCAGTGTGTGCATTACAAGGTATCTGGTGCAATGGCGAAAGGAAGGGACAAAAGGGTCCCGGACCCTAGCCGCAATGAGCGACTACCTACATAGCGGCTATGTGCTTGTCCCCAGGCTAGCTGTGGTCGGACCCGCCTCCCAGACCTCTGCAGTTGCCCCCCTGAGGAGTAGCCCTCCCGACCGGTCGCCTTGCAGACAGGAAGGCCAGGCTGGGAGGCTTAGTGAAGGAACTGTCCCCCGTTACACAGGCACAACTGAAACCCAGAGCCTTGGATTGCAATGTTCTTTACCCAGCAGCCTCCCTAAGCAAATGTGGGTGGCAAGGGAGGCAGCTGTGAACGCCTGCCCTCAGGTCTTTCCACCTCCCGTGTCTCTCCCCAGTTCCTGCTGGCCGAGCTCCGCATCAGCCCAGACCTGAAGATCTCCATCAAGGACGAGGAGCTCGACTCCCTGAGAAAGGCCTCGGCCTTCCGCACAGTCTGCAATGACGTCATCCCTAAGCGCCTCCCGGACATCCGCAGGCTGAGCGCCAGCCTCGCTGGCCGCCCGGGCATCCTCAGGAGAGAGGACTTCGAAAGGACCGTGCTGACCCTGGCCTACACGGCCTACCGCACCGCCCTGGCCCACGGGTATCAGAAGGACGTCTGGGCCCAGTCGCTGGTTAGCCTCTTCCAGGCGCTGAGACAGGACTTGCTGCGGTCCTCAGGCCCCAGAGCATCTCCCTCGGAGCAGGCACCTGCACACACGGCAATCCAGAAAGTCTGAGTTCTCTTCCCCAGCTACAAGGACTAGCTGCGAAACACGCCACCCACACAGACCAACAGAGTTAAGAGAAGCCCCGAAGCCCGTCGTCTCCACAGCTCCCTGACAAACATGCCTGATCCACGGCTGGGAGAGAGGCCAAGGTGGCTCCTGGCGCAAGTGGTTTGAGGACCTGCGCTTCAGCTCAGAGCCATCGCTGGACACACCCGGGGGAGGACAGAGCTGGACGAGGGGTGCGGGGAGGAAGTCTGGGCATGGCCTCAAGAGGGGAGACAGAAGCCTCGGGCTGGGAATGCCTTTCCAGTAGTTCTAGAACAAATATGAAAAAAGTGAGAGAGCCATACCCTGAATAAATTCATTGTGAACCAGGGATATATTTCTGGACTTTTCCAAAAACCACCGGGAAGAATCAGTTGGGAAATCGGTAGTTTCATGACCCGTATGTTTTCACTCACCTTCTCTGAAAGCTGGGTCTGCTGGTAAAAGTGGTGGCCCCAGCACCCAGGCCTCTCCATCTCCATCCTAAAACAAGTTGGCATCCCTGAATAACCAGGTGCTCCAAATAAAAATGAATTCCAGGCAACCAGATTTGACCTTTGCAAATGGCAACATTTCTGTCTCAGAAATATTGATTTGATTAAATATTGATTTAAGCATCTACTTATACTGTAATATGAAAAGCTTAAGCTTGTATTTGCTGTCTTCAGAGAATCATCAGAAACTTCCTAATGTAAAAGTTGATAAGATAATCTCTAAGATTCCTTCTGTCTTTGCTTTTGCTACAGTCATTTTGTGGGGGACTCCCAGAGGCCTGCGGGACTATCTGTGCAGGCCCTGTAAGCTCAGGCCTTGCTTGCTCTCTGCCCAATTGTTTTTCCACCACCTCCCTTGTTCACTGATAGGCATTGCAATCAAGCTAGCTTGCACTATCCAATGCATTCTTCCTTAGCTGCCATGGCCTAAAGATTAGATGGTGAGATTTATTCTCATTCTATGTTAAACAAGAGCTCGTGAGTGAAGGCTCTGCCAGCAACAAAGCACTTTGATTCTTTTTTTTTTTTTAATATTTAGTTCTTTCCATTGGAAAGTCAGATATAGAGAGGAAGATCTTCTGTCTGTTGATTCACTCCCAAGCGGCTGCACGTCCAGAGCTGAGCTGATCCAAAGCCAGGAGCCCGGAGCATCTTCTGGCTCTCCCACACAGGTGAAGGGTCCCAAGGCTTTGGGCTGTCCTTGACTGCTTTCCCTGGCCACAAGCAGGGAGCTAGAAAGGAAGAGGGTCAGCCAGGATACAAACCAGCACCCATATGGGATCCTGGCGCATTCAAGGCGAGGACTTTAGCTACTAGTCTACCGCACCAAGCCCACACCTTGATTCTAATAAGGGCTCCCCACAGCATGAAGATAGGCTGGTTTGGGGCAAATGTTTGGAGCTGAAGCTGTGGGAAGTCTGATCTGTGGATGAGTGAGAGTCATTGGGCTATATTCAATGCTGGAAAGGGCGTGCAGTGATTGCCATGTGGTCAGGAGATTAGGAGGTGAGGATGCCAATGCAAGCTTTGCCTAACAGCACAAGCACGTGGTCTTGAAGAAATACTAGCATGCAAGAAGATGCTGTGCGTAGCTACAGTTTTGCAAGCTGCTGCTCTGTGGCTCAGAAGAGCAGTGACGCACAGCTGCTTATCCCCTGGTCATGTTGTTTTCTTAACACACTCAGGCACAGAGTCTGCGTCTCACTTTTTGCTTTGTCTTTTAATTACTCTGCACATCTCATTCTAGCTTCTCAGCCACTTTATTCAGACCCAGTTCTGAATAGCTTTGCATCTGTTTCTCTTTTCCTCTAAGATTTTTTTTTTATGATTACTATTATTGGAAAGATTTACACAGAGAAGGATAGACAGAGAGAAAGATCTTCTATCCGGGGGTTCACTCCCAAGTAGCCACAACAGCGACCGGAGCTGAGCCTATCTGAAGCTGGGTGCCACGAACTTCTTCCAGATCTCCCACACAGGTACAGGGTCCCAAGGTTTTGGACCATCCTCAACTGCTTTCCCAGGCCACTAGCAGGGAGCTGAAAGGGAAGTAGAGCAGCCAGGATTAAAACCAGTGCCCATGTGGGATCCCGGACATGCAAGGCAAGAACTTTAGCCACTAGGTTACTGTGCTGGGCCTGCATCTGTTTCTTGATATATCTGCAGGCCCCTTCTGGTTGACTGGTTTTCCCTCTCTCTTCCTGCTCATCCATCCCTCTAACTGCTCATACCTAGATACACACTATCTTTCCGTCTCCTTTGAATAAAACCTACCTACAGACAGGACTCTGTTTTCGTTGCACTCTCCTGGATGTGAGATTGGGAGATAACCAACATTGACCTCAGCTGATAGACACAGTGCAGTCGGTCTGGCATCCCTGCTGGGATCTCGGCACCTCTTGTACCCCAATCTCTTGAGCCCAGTCCTCACCGACTGTGTTATGATAAATGGTTGCTTCCAGCGGCCAGAGACCTGTGAAGAGTCAATCCCAGGATCACTGGTAGCAAGAGCAGTGCACTCATCCAGCAACCAACAGCTGAGGGCACTTGGGAGGCCTGAATCGATGTGGCCATCAGTGACTCAACAGAAAAAGAAGGAATGACCTTTATAAAAGAGAAAACTTCATTTGCAGCAATGAGATTTTGAAACATTCTTTTAGTCTAAAGGCAGGTTTTTACCCCAGGAAACATTTATAACAATTACTTTATAGACATGAAAAATGAAATATTTTGTTCACCATCCCCCTCAAACCCCCCCAAAAAGTACCCTGCTGCTTAGAACAGGAATTAACATAGCAAGTGGTTAAGACACACATGTCCCATTCTGGAATGCCAGAGTTTGATTCCTCACTCCAGCTCCTGACCCCGGCTTCCTGCCAATAAGCACTGTGGGAAACAGTGGTGATAGCTCATGTACTTGGGTCTCCATCTCCCACCTGCGACACCTGGATTATGCTACCTGCTCTTGAATCCAGCCCCAGCCATCCCCATCCACCAACCCCTGGCTGTTGCTCTCGCTCTCTTTCTCACTCATCTTCTGCCCTTTGAATTCGTTTTTTAAAGTTAGTCTTAACCCAGTGAACAGACAAAGCAGAACGAATAGGAACAGACACTCCCACTTGGCCTCATGCAGACCATGCTCTCCACAACCACAGCGGGATTGCATTCTGTCATCTTGACTCATAGAATAACCTGAGGGTGTGATGGTCACGGTGGGACCTTGTCTGTGGTTTATGGACTTATTTCTGCCATTGCTATACTGCCGGAAAACTGAATGACCTCAACCCCTGATGCTTCCCTACGGCTGGGAATCCCTCGGCCATCTCCAGCGTCACTTAAGAGGCACGTAGAAACATCTTTGTGCTGAAACTTTCATTGCCTTGTCATTTCACCTTGAACTGAATGAGAAGAGAATCACCCTAGTGGTAAAATCGAAGCGTTCTGCAAGTAAACAAAACAGATTCAAAACTAAATACTCATTAAATGACTTTGCACAACACCCTTTACTTTCTTAACCCATTTAAGCATCTTAACATTTCTTGTCATTTGAGTTAAAAAAAAAAAAAAACTCCTAAAAGTTATCATCTTAACCAATGTCAAAGGTATGATAATGTTAACTCAACGAAGGGGTCTTTAGAAAGTCCATGAAAATGTGTATTGTGAAAAACCCATTTCAAGTTTTTCACACACTAAAAATAAACATCATTTAATTTGATTCGCCATGACCTTTTTAAGTATCCCTACATGCGCACAAGAGATCTAGCGCTTTTTCAGCCGCCATCCTTCCATTTGGGGCTGCCAAAGGTTGACCACTTTGGACCTCTTACACAAGTGGACTCTGATTCACACTTGCTGAGAGAGTGTTTTCATCGTGAAAAATGTGTGGAGAACGTAAAGGAGAACTGCTAGAGTGACTATGTCATTTGCCTCACCTAATGCTATTTAACAAATAATCCTTATGGTATCATAAAAATGCCATGACTGTGCTACTAAACCGCCTGGAATCTTCGTTATCTAGATGACCGCACCGAGGAATCTGAAGTTGCTTTACTTGGACAGCAGATGTTGGCTTCCACAGCTGTTTATCATCATCTAGTCTCTTTCACATTCGCAGCCAAAATACCACACATACGATATTATTTACGTTTCCAGATCATGACAAAAACGAGGCCAGAATGTAATAAATACAGTAGCCAGTCCTTTTAAAGAAGGAGCCCTACAATGGTGAGAGAATTTCAGAGCCAACCTGGGCTTGCCACAGATGCACGCGCCTTTGAAGTCCAGAAGAACTGGTTCTGGGGGCTTACTTCCCTCGGCACTTTATCTTCAGCCCAGGGGATCGTTTTCAACTGGTATGGCTGTACACCTTGGAAAGGTACCATTCCTTGCATTCTGCAAACTCAAGAGCTCATGGGTTTCACAACCCCTTGACTCTCAGAATCTCCAGGCTCAAAGCAGTGCTGTTGAGGACCAGCCCTTAGAAAAGGGTTGGGGTTTTCTTCTTTTTTTGTTGTCCTTGACTCAAAGCCACAGTCATTCCTGAAGAAAGAGCTGACAGTTTCTCCCAGCCTGGAAGCAAAAAGAATTCCAGAGTGATAACTGCTGTTGAACTTGTCAACTTCCCTTCCCTCCCACCTCCTCCCTGTGTGCCAACCCCAAAAGGCCTTCTGCTTCCTTGCCAAAAAAGAACATCTCAGCACCTGCCCGAACCAGAGGGACTGGGGACATCTGGGCTGGAGGCGCCTCCGGAATGAGGCTGGAGTCTAGTATTTTCCAGAGAGGCCTTCCCATCCTTTCCCTAAAGGGTCTGGGGGTCTGGGGTCTCCAGGACAGGCTCACATGCTCTGCCTCTACACACACACGTGCTGGAGCAAATGAGAAGTCTGAAAGGTTTGATACTGTGCTCTGTGGGCAAAACCCTCCAGCATCGCTGTTGCCTTTTCCGCTTCCATCAGGTGCAACATCTTGCTAAGTACTAGATCAGCAGGTGGCCCTTGCTGGGAATACTCTGAATCCTATGCCCTGACACAAGAAAGCAGTGCTGTGGAAAGCAGGATTCTGTTTCCAATGATGGTCATCACTCCAACCCCTAGGATGTTTGGGAAACTGAAAAAATAAGCTTTGCAAGCTGCCTAGGTTCTGCAGAATCAGCAGGCCCCGCTGTGACCAATCAAGAAGTGCCTCTGGCCGAGATACTGGCTCATTCTTTTCAACTTGCTGATTGGATTTCAGCAAGGGGTGGAGCTACCGCCTCTGTTCTGGCTTCCCATTGGTGAAGGACAGTTTAAGGTGGGCCTCCAGCAAGTTTTTGTCCTGTGACAAAAAGGAATGTCTTGGGGATTTTCTGCTGCTCTGGAGGCCTTGGCTCAAGGCAAATTCGAAGTAGGAAGCCAATTGGGAGGAAAGAATTTTGCAGAGTTCAGGTGTCAGGGCCTGGGAGAGACCAGCAACCCCATCCAAAGTCTGCCTGCACTTCTAACAAACTCTGCTTGTTTTAAGGGAAGGGGCTACTAGATTCTGACTGACAGCAGGCGCAGGTAGGCAAGCAAACAGGTGCGCCTCGCAACAGGCCAGCCCTGGGAGGAAAGATGACGGCCAGCACGGTACGCGCCTGGCATTTTTGACTTGGTAAAGATTTTAAATGATTTCTTCAAGCCCCAGCAGCAGCAGCAGCGGAGGTGTCATTTAAACTGCTTGAGCGGGTTCTTGCGGACCCCCAGAATGGAGTTACTCTACAGCTAACCGAGCGCCGAGGAGCCCGCTATGCCCCCATTTATAATTTTTTCCCAGTTCCTTTTTGCTGGCCATAAAACCATGCTCATCAATCCTACCTAAAGCCAAAGGCAAGGAGCCCAGGCTTTTGTTGAAACCGGGGGTGTAAACTGCCCTCCTGCTTTGCCCCCTCGAGACCAGAGAAGGACTCCTGGGAGCCAAGAGCTAAGGTGTAAGACGTTTTTCTGCACCCGGAGCCGCGCAGAGCCGAAAGTCAAGGAGTCCCGCCAGCTGAGCGGGTCCGAGGGGAGCAACCGAGGAGCCAGGCCGCCATGGGCTGGCTGCAGGGCCTGCTCCGGGCCCGGAACCTGCTGCTGGTCGTCTGTGTGCCACTGCTGCTGCTGCCCCTGCCCGTCCTGCACCCCAGTAGCGTGAGTAGATGCCCCAGTTGGCACGCGCGCATGGGTGGGAAGTGACCGTGTAAGCTGTACCCCACTACCGGGTTGGTGGGTTAAGGGAAATGGGGATGTTCCTCCCAAGAAGGCAAAACACCTTCTTCCAAAACGTTGTCCGAATCCACGGACCTTATGCCTCCCAAGCCAGGGGCCGCACTCAGTGCTGGGGGTGCCCACTCGGGAGAGCGTGTGAGGGTCCCATGGGGAGCCTGTGTATGTCTGGGATCAGGGTCAGCCTTCGACCATCTCTGTACTTGAGGGCAACTGGGAATAAAACCTCCAGTGGACCTCCCGGAAGGCCACAGGGGAGGAGGGAGACTGGGGCTGTGAGGGTCGGTGGCCCTTGATGTGTCAGATCGCTGAACCACAAATGCTCCCCATGAACTTGAAGGAAGGAACTAGGAACTGAGCTGTCCTCCTGGCCCTGGCCACGTGTTTCCTTCTCTGTGCTCCGGAAGGACAGATGCAAAACGAGCCCACCAGAAAGATGCCACAGACCCCCAAAGCAGGACTCTGAACCAATCTTAGATGATGCCTGCATGAGCAGATGGAGCCCGGATTCTGGCTGGGCCCTGGGCTTGCTCTGGGGTGTCTCCTGCCTGCCCTGTTTCCTCCTCTCTTGGTCTTCTCCCCCTCCTCCTTTGTGGCTTTGCCCCTGCTCCCAGCTAGCGCTGCCTTGGAGATTTTTAGGACAAATGAGCCAAGACAGACTAATCATGCTTGTGGGAGGGAAACAGCGACTTCTACTCGGCTCCGGAGTAACTTGGTAACCAAGATTACAATAAAAAGTTAAATAGAAGGGATTAGAATATTCTGCTCTAAAACAAGCTGGTTTAAGTCTTCAGTAGAATAAACAGCCCCAAGTGCCAGGGAGCTGCTGATTACAGCTGGCCGGAATGAACAGGCAGTGATGGCTTCCGACATTTTTCTTCCTCCATTTTCTACTTGTGCAAATGCACCTGATTGTTTTTGTCCTTCCTCCTTTTGTTGTGTCTGAATTCAATGTCAGATTGAGTCAAGGGAAGGCTGACAAGAGGCACCTTCCCTCTTTCCGTGGCTGTCCCGGGAGTCTCCTGGCTGCTCCCGAAGTCAGCTTGCTGTCCTTGCCCACTGCCTGCAGGAGGCACGGCCTAGATTCCAACCCAGAGGATGCCTCTCGCTCATCCTGCGCCTCTCTCGGAAAAGCTACAGATTCTGATACTTCATCTTGAAAGTTCCTATGTGGGTTCACTTGCTCTGGGCTGGAGTGGGGCAGAATGGCTGGGAACCTGGGCAGTGTTGGTGGTTCCTCACAGCCACCATCACAGCAACCTTTGAGGAAGGATCAGAATACACTTCCCTGGCTTGTTGATTGGTCCCCTAATGCCAGAAGTGCTGGTCTTGTTTACCATAGTAAAAAAGGAAGAGGCCATGGGAAAAAAAAAAAAAAAGGAAAGGAAAAACGGGGTACCCATGACTAAGGAATGCCCAGTGGAATAAAGTTGCATGCACTTAACCCTCTCAGGCTAATTTTTTTTAAGACTCTGCCCCCTCCTTATTCTTGACCTGAACACAAGAAACCAGGAAGCATTCCACATAGGAATGTCTCACTTTTGAATGCTCTATCTCTAAAACAGGAAGCAAAAAAGAACCGGTAACACCTCAATCCTTGCCAGAATACTCACCAAACCCCCACCCACTTGTGGTTCAGTGGCATTCGTAAGGAGGCTGGAGAGCTCCCGAACATTCCCCCCTGGTATGTTAAGGGAACTATTAGCCAGCAGGGAAGTCCAATTCAATGCATACAACACTGACTGAGCCCCCTACTTGACACTTGGCTGGGTTCCAGGTCACCAGGCTGCCACATTCAGGCATCAGAGAGTATTTGGGGTTGTCCAAATACAATTTTGAGCAGACTGAGAGGGAGTGAGAGGAAATCTTTGTGGATTTCATGAATGAACTAAGAAACAGGTGGCAAGACCTCTAAAGCTGCCTTTTCATTCATTCTTCTGTGCTAAGGAAAACCAGATAAGACAAGTGGTTTATCCAGTTCTCTCTAGCGCTAGACGAAAACAGCTTGGAAACTTCCTCAAGTAACTTCTTCCAGTTCCTAAGCAGCTCAGGGAAAGGTTTATCTCAGCTTTACCCAAATTCCTCTTAATGTATAGCCCTGCAATGTGCAGGGCAAGAAAAACCAAAGTTCTCTGGAGGAGCTAAGATGCCCACAAGGGACAGACAACCTGTGCACTTTATGGTCAACTGGAGTTAAGCGCTGCCCTTCTCACTGGTTCCCAGCACAGAGATAAGGAGGCTCCAGTGGGCTTTGAGCCCCTTGGGGCAGTGTGACTTCTACTCCAGAGGGGGTATCCCCCAAAGGTCATTCTCTTCTGAAAGCAGCCAGTTTTGCACCCACTGCCCCAGTACTGATTCTATTGTCTTATCAGCCGCTTCCCAAAGCTTCATCTTCTCTCTGCTCTTTTGGCCCCGGATAAAATCTCAGTGGGAACTCCAGTCAACAGTCCTTGGGCCCAGTTCCCATTTCTCAAACCCTATAATCCATGAATACCAGGGGGGTGGAGCAAGATCCTATCCAGCCAAGCCAGGTTAATCACTCCTGTGGCCCCTCACTGACCACTCTGACTTTTTGTAACTTTTATGCAAGCATTTGAGGACAAGCTTATTCTCAGGGCGAGGGGCTACAAATAGAGCGAGATTTGTCAGGTTTCCTGATCGGCCAGCCTCAGCGGAGCTCAGAGCTGATGGACTATGTTAGCAGAGTCAACCTGCACATCTTCTGCGATGGCTCTGAGTCACTGGGCTCCCGTCAGCCAAGCCCCACGGACAGTGGTTTCTCCCAAGGGTGTCCTTTCCTCCGCCTTAGCAGAGGGCTGGCTTTTGCTATGAATGTTATGTGTATTCACTCTGTGCACTCCTAGGTTGTGCAACAAGCCAACAGAACGGACTGGCAGAAATGCCGGTAAATGTCCATGCTGCCCCCCAGCCCCTGCAGGCCCATGGCTCCGAGTGCCAGCTCTATTCTGCAGGAAATGTCTGTGCCGTCAGGCACGCGGAATAGACTCCACGGTCAATGAGCCCAGACCTGGTTAGAGCTGAGCCAGGGGCATCTGTGTCTCCCCAGCTTCCCTGCAAGGGTCCTGTGGAAATGACTGGAGATATGTGTGGTCATCACCCCTGGGGCGAGGCCAGAGGCTGCTGAACATGTTACGCTGCCCAGGCCAGCCGCCACCACCAGGGAGCAGCAGGTCCCATACATCTTCACGGGAACACTGAGTTGGGAGCTCATTCTTGCTCTTCCTAACTTAGCGTTTCCTCTCCTCTCCTGCCCATTCTCGCCACACTCCCTACAGCGCCTCCACCAGTTCTCCAGTGATACTGCAACCTGTGAGAGCCCAGCCTAGAAAACTGAAGGGGAAAGTCGTCTAGCTCTTGTCTAACCTTTATCTAATTAAAAGTTACGATTGCGTTGTTTCTGCAGACAGTCTGAAGCATGAGGATTCAACATCATGAATTCATTTTTAAAGCAGAAAAGCCATTCTTAAGATTCTTCCGAGAGTCTAATGCGTTAAGGTTGTGATTTACATGATTTGCCTATAAACCTTACAGGCAAGTTGGCTATTCTGTTGGGGTGTGGCTGGAGAAGAGGTCTGGATCGCAGATATCCCTGGGATAACCCTAGAGACACGCTCCAGACCCTGCGCACACACGCATGCATGTAGCCCTGAGCGCACAGAGCAACCTCCCAGGTGATGCATAAATGTCACTTACCGATCCACTTCTCTGGCTGGATATGCATCTAATGTCCCTACATCTCTATGCTTACACACAAACACTGAACTTGGGAGTGGTGATCTCACACCGACTCCACCCCCCAACTACCCCAAGAACTTCGATGATCCCATCAGCTTCCCAGGTTGTGTCTCAGTTGGAGTTCAAGCTTTGAGCTCCACTCGCATAGTCTGTGACCTTGGGTCTAGGGGCTGCAGCTGACCAGACCCCACCATCTGCAGTTTCAGAAACCAGCAGATCTGTGATGTGCCTGCCGTCCAGTGTTCCCTCGCTCCGTGCTGATGTAAACCACGTGGAGCACCTGTAACGCCACCTTCCAGATACGTGTCCAACACACTCGCGTGCCAAGTTCAGCTTTGCGCCTCCCGGGGTCTCTGTGAAGGCTGAGGGTTTCTTTGGTTCTTGGTGATGGTTACTGTCCCTGGGACCTGACCTCTTCTTTGCTTCCCTTCCAGGAAGCTGCATGCGCTTACGTGCTCATCGTGACCGCCGTGTACTGGGTGTCCGAGGCAGTACCTCTTGGAGCTGCAGCCCTGGTGCCTGCCTTCCTCTACCCGTTCTTCGGAGTGCTCCGATCCAGTGAGGTTAGACCACGTGGGCCCCAGACCCTGCTGCGGTCCCTCCCAGGCCAATGACAGAGGGCTCTGGGTGACGGGAGGTTCACAGAACACCGGAGGGGAGGGGCCTTCTCCATCCACCGTGTACCCGCTGTGCAGACCCTGAGTTCCCGCTCGTTATCCCATGACTCTTACCTCCTCCAAACTAGCTCAGAACCTGCCTCCTTCAGGGAGCTCTCCTTGATTAAACACATGCAACTGCTCCTGCGGTCTCAAACTTCGCACGTGCTATGTGCTTGGCACCCGTACTTAGATTGTTTATGGTCTTTTTTCAGGCTCTCTTCTTTTAAAGATTTGTTTCTTTGGAAGGCAGAGTGACACAGAGAGGGAGAGACAGAGAGATTGTTCATCTGCTGGTTCACTCCCCAAATGGCCACAACAACCAGGAAAACAGGAGCCAGGAAACCCATCCAGGTCTTCCACACGGATGGCAGGGCCCCGAGGACTTGAGCCATCATCCGTGGCCATCCGTATGCTAGCAGGAAGCTGGATCAGAAGTAACTGGGACTCAGTCTGGTGCTCTGATGTGGGAAGCTGGTGCAAAAAGCGGTGGCTTAACCCTGTGCCGCAATGCCTCAGTCTTATGTATGTTTGCTTAGCCTGTAAGTACACAAAAGCTGGAGACAGGCCTCCCGTTGTAAGGTATCCCATAATGAGTCTGAACCCACACTGCATAGATGCTCAGCAAGCGTTTGTTAATAGAGGGGTTCCTGAGTCCTAGCAGCCCTGTTATCTATCTCTGCCTTCTTTCCAGCTCCAAGTTTCGGCACAGTCTTTCTTCGATTGCTCTCTAACGTCTGCCCTCCTGGTTCACATTCCATGACATTCTCAGAAGCTCAGGCCCTCCCTCTCCCCCCCAAAAAAAATGTCAGCATCAAGCCCAGATAGTGGCCAAATGTCAAAGTGAACATTTGGGCCTTTCGCAGATAGAGAAGAGAAGGAGACAGAATCCAGGAGAGGGATGGACGAGGGTCTCCTACATTAACACCTGCTTCCATGTGGACAGTCCCATCCTGGCACCTGACCTCTGTTGAGCGTTTCTGATTGTGAAGACTAAAAAGCAGAAGTGGAAGTGAGGTGAAGAGCAGAGGCTTGGAAAGTAAAGAGGAAACTGATATTTGAATGCCTGACTAAAAGAAGGCCACAGTCCACAGATGCTACTTTTTAAAAATACATATTTATTTATTTTTATTTTGCAAAGTCAGATATACAGAGAGGAGGAGAGACAGAGAGGAAGATCCTCCATCTGATGCCTCACTCCCCAAGTGAGCGCAACAGCCAGAGCTGAGCCAATCCAAAGCCAGGAGCCAGGAACTTCTTCCAGGTCTCCCATGCGGGTGCAGGATCCCAGGGCTTTGGGCCGTCCTCGACTGCTTTCCCAGGTCACAAGCAGGGAGCTGGATGGGAAGTGTGGCTCCCAGGATTAGAACCGGCACACATATGGGATCCAGCATGTTCAAGGTGAGAACTTTAGCCGCTAGGCCACGCAGCCAGGTCCAGGTGCTACCTTTAGCATTTGACAACTTCCACAAGCTCTACAAGGTGAGTTTAATATTACCATGCTGTAGATGAGGACCTTGCCACAAATCAGAAAGTAGGAAATAACAGAACTGGGTTCAAACCCCTAATTAGAGTTCAAGGTTTCTATGAAAGCCATGCTATTATGCTTACTATTGCATAAGGAAAACATTTCACAAAGCATTATGTGGCCTCATGGTGTTGTAAATATAGAGTTATGCTAAGAATTGTGGGTCTCTCCACCTCCTTGGTATGAGGGACAAAGAATAAAGAGGGGCTATGGCATGCCTTCATAATGGATTATAAAACTGTTTTTGTAAGTCCATAGAACTGGGCAGTTACCCCCATTGTTGTATTTGTCTTTCTAGTGAATGGAATCAGCTGACCAGTTTTGTTCATTTGGGGTCTTGGGTTCCTTCCTTCAGAAGCCATAGCCTCAGACACTCCAAAAAATGAAAAGAACCTCACAAACTCTCAGCTGTGCTTTTATTCCTGGAGAGAGTATAGCCCCAAGATTCTGGGACCCCAGAATCACCAAGCAGCCACTCCAATTTTCTCCCTTCTCTTTTGAAGAAAGAAAATTATTATGAGTACATTATCCATGCCTAAAAAGAAAAATCAACCTTAACTCTGACTCTTCCCAGAAGAGGGGAAACAAACTTGTTCGTCAGGTTCCTTTTGAAAAATCAGGAAACCGAAGGCCAGGGGTGACAAGGAGTGAAAGTAGAGGGCGGGGACAAAAGTGAAGTTTGGAAATAACTGAATGTTAAATGATATTTTAAAGTGAAATAACTATTCATCAAGAGACTTGACATTTGTGCTTCGCTCTGGGCAGCCCCCACGCCAACAGCACGCCTTAGCTGTAAAGGGCATGATGGCTCTATTTCTGCCAGGACTGCCTGCAGCGGGAATTTAGGGGTGGCTCTGTCAGCCCCATCCCACAGAACAGGAAAGATGTTGCTAGGCAACAGCCATTCAGGGCCCGCTGCTTGGCACAGCCAGGAAGGGTCTGTGGAGGCAATGGCTTATGAGGGTAACATGACACTGTGAGAGGAAAAGGAAGCCTGCCCTCGGGGACCAGACATTGCTGTCACAGTGGGGACTAAGGAGGTGTGTTTTGCCATCCATCTATCTGCTGAGGTGACTTTGGACAGTGACCGTGTTTAGTGGTTGGGCCTCGGGGAGCAGCTTAGTCCAAATATAGTCTACTTAGCTGACCTGCTTAGCTCCGATGCGAGGACAGTGCCTGCAAGGTGGAAGACATGGCATCTAATCTCTTGCTAGCCAGTTGACTTTGCAGAGCAAATGCCTCTTCCACCATCTGCGCCCCCACACCTGTTCTGCTCTACCCTATGTCAGCTCTACTGTTCCCAACACCAGCACAGCTGTCCCCCACACCAGCACAGCTGGCCCTCACACCAGCACAGCTGGCCCTCACATCAACACAGCTGTCCCCCACACCAGCACAGCTGTCCCCCACACCAGCACAGCTTTACTCCACACCAGCACAGCTGGGCCCCACACCAGCACAGCTGTCCCCCACACCAGCACAGCTGGGCCCCATACCAACACAGCTTTACTCCACACCAGCACAGTTGGCCCCCACACCAGCACAGCTTTACTCCACACCAGCACAGCTGGCCCCCACACCAGCACAGCTGGCCCCCACACCAGCACAGCTGGCCCCCACACCAACACAGGCTACAAGCCCACACCAGCACAGCTGTCCTCCACACCAGCACAGCTGGGCCCCATACCAACACAGCTGTCCCCCACACCAGCACAGCTGGGCCCCACACCAGCACAGGCCATGTTCCCACACCAGCACATGCAAGCGTGCCTCCTTTCCGGCCGTGTACAGGCCTTGTACAATCTCCCATGCAGGCATATCCTAGATGAATGAGAATTTCACTGTGAAGTGCCCAGACTTTATGCTGACCACTTTTTAATTAGTCTTTAAAAAGCTTGGTAACCTCCCCACTCTTTGAAACAGAAGCCCTTGAGTATAAATTAACCTATTCCTTGGCACCTTCACAATTTCCAAGAGAAAAATACACTGTCGCTCAGGGAGCCAGTGTGGGCCAGGTGATCCGATGGTGGGACAGCATGCTGGCTGGCTGAAGAGCCGAACCAGAACGTGGAGTAACTTGCGGGCATCCGGTGGGAGAGCTCAGATGCCAAGACGAGGGCTAGCCGGCAGATCTGCCATGACTCAGTTGGATGGCTAGCTAATATGTGGTGACAGGATCATTGTGACAGGGTGAGCAATGGGCTGAAACTGACAAAGGGAAGTTGAATAAGGGTAAACAGGAGCAGATCATGTAAGAGACTCGTGGCTGATGGCTAAGTACAGGCTCAGCGTGAGTCATCCCAGCCTAATGTGGCTGCTGAGACTCTGCTCACCATATGCCAGGCACCATGGGAGGTCATGGGCACACACTGTGCCATTGAACCCTCTGTCAGGTGGCCGTCGTTCTTCATTTTTCCTGAGTAGGACACTCATGCTCTGAGAGGTTAAGCAATCTACTCAAGGCGACACAGCCAGTGCGTAGCGGAACCAGGACTTGAATCCAAGATTCTATGATTTAAAGCAGGAGCTCTTAGCCGCTCGGCTTTACAGACCACGGGCAGCTTTTGAAAGAATAAACCCTGAGTTCCAAAGTCTTGCAATCTGAAGCTCACCCAGAGATAGGCAGCCGGGATGTCAAGAACCTAGAAAGTGAGTGAGAGGAGAGAGCTTAGAAGGGCATGTGGTGACCGGCTGGTACGGCCCTCAAGACCCCCTGGCTCTGAGGGTCAAGCCAGAACACGAAGGGCGCTTCCCGCTGTCTAAGGGAACGGCTTGTCCCAGGCAGCCCTGGTGTTCCTGATCCCGAGCTCAGGCTTCGTAGCTGGGTCGGGATTACCACCGATGGACTAGGGGCCTTGGAAAATGGGCTGGGCGCTAGGGTCCCTTGGAGGGTCTGCTGGTGAGCAGGCAGCTGCTGTTCGCCTCCGCAGGTGCGCAGGGCTTGCGTGGTGCTGGATTTTAGGTTGGGCTTTACGTTTGGGATTCTGTCTTGGCTCCACTGTGACTTTCACTGCCATCATCCTGTCATCCTCTAAGCCCCCTTCTAAATGTTGGTCAGGTGTTTCTGGCTTGGGCATGCCCAATCCCTTGGTCAAGCAAGTTTGCTCTGATTTCCTGTCTGTAGGACACACTGTGGGGGTGGGGGTGGGGGTTGAGTGAGAAGCTTTTTGAAGGCTGAGGCTTCAGGGTGGCTCTTCAGGAGACAAGGGTCAGGAGCTACTCATGACTGTCATCTCACACTTTCTCTACGGCCGTCCTTTAGCCGCACGCGTGTGCGCCTGCGCGCGCCTGCATCCCCGCGGTCCCGCTCACCCTGGACTCCAACAGCTGTCTCCCGGTCAGTCTCATTCAGATTCCAGCTCCTGCCGGGGCAAGCAAG